ATACACTACACAAACAAGTCCCGATAAGTACGCGGAGTACGGCCGACAAACACTCTAGAGTTGATTGTCCCTCGAGGGATAGCCGCATCGGGTGATGCTACGTCGGACAGCAGTTCCGTCGGAGGGCTGGGGGAAGAGACCTCAGCCACGCAACAGCAACACGCGGAGGATCCGGCGATTGCGAGGTTGGAGGGCCAGTTATCGCAGCTGATGAGCGTAGTGATGGAGTTGAAGAGGAAGGAGCCTGGTGACGCCGTGGCGGGCGATGCCAGTAGGGGCGGCGGTGCTGCCGTCCCAAGCCAGAGAGAGGCTCTGCCGCCTGGGGGCGGCGGGGCATTTTCCCGGGAAACGGCCCGTGATGGGCGAAATCACCCGCGGGAAAGCAGCTGGGACAACATACCGGGAGCGAGTCCTGGGGTTCCAGCGAGAGTGACGACTGGCTGGGCAAGTAGATCGGGAGCGAATCCTGTGGGGCCAGCCGGAATGAGCCCGGGCGTAGGACCGGACCGCGGGGAAGCGAGGGGGTTAAGCCCCCAAGGTGAGCAAACCGCAATTCGAGGGGCCGGAGCATTTTTCGATGGGTACAGCAGTAGTAGCCAAAAACGTGTTACGGTCAATGCACCGCGTCTCGAAGGGGAGAGTCGCGGCCACGGGTACGACTCGTGGAGAAAGGCCCTTATTCAAGCCGCGAAAACCGTAGGCTTGGACGGGCAGCTTATCGGCAACGCCGAGAAGCACGCACCCGTCGGTGACCCAAACAGGCCTAGCTCGGAGCTGTATAGCTTGGGCTACACAAGTGATGAGGTTCAGAGGGGCCTCCAGGCGTTCCACTTTGTGACTACAGCCATCGTCCGAGAAGCCTACAAGGCAACCGTGAATAAATGCGAGACCGCAAAGGAGATTCTTGCGGAACTCGACAGATTACACAACCCGGAGTCGCAGGGCTCGAAACAAGTCCTGATGAAGAAGATGTTCAAATTCACGATCCCCGCACACAGCAACAGCAACCCTGTCGAGCATCTATACACGCTCGAGCTGCTGTACTCGCGACTGCGGGAAAAAGGGCTCAACGCTGACACACCCTTTGTTCTCGCACACTTTGTCGATGCCCTTCCACCCGAGTACCAACAAGCCAAATTCTTGTTGGAGACGGCTACAACTCTGGACCGGGGCGAGATAATCAGGGTAGTCAGTACCGTGCACGCGAGCCTCCCGGAGGGGAGGAGGGCCACGAAGGGCCAGCGGAAGGCGGAGCATGCTTTCCTCGCGAGCGACGGTGGCAACAGGGGCGGAGCGCCCGGCCGCAGCAGCGGCGGCCACAGCAAGGGCGGCGGCGGCGGTGGCAGCCAGAAGGGGAAAGGGGGTGGTCGCAAGGGCGGTGGTGGTGGCAACAGCGGCGGAGGCGGCGGCGGTGCAGGTAGCATGCACGGCCGCTGCTTCCGGTGCGGAGAGAAGGGTCACCAGGCGGCCGCCTGTACCAAGCCGGAGCCCCTGCGATGCGAGAAATGCCTGGGCTACGGACACGACAAGACCAAATGCTCGTCCGAGCAGGCGGTGCTCGCGGTGGAACTGCCGGTCTTGGACGCCACCGCACTGGACGTGGCAGAGGAGGCGCTAGTGGTCCGTGACTTCACAGGCGAGTGGAACAGAGTCGTTGATCGAGGGGGTGTAGAGCAGGCCAGGCAGGAAAGGTTTGTGGCCGATACC